GAGTGAGGATAGTATAATTAACTGCGAAACAGGCACCCATGAGTAAGTGCGAAAGACCCACAGTCCGGTTCATCCACCGATGTGTCCCAGGTGCCGTGGACGGTGCCCAACACAGGCCCCCCAAACATTTATCGATCACGAATTCCTGATAGAAAGTCAAGCCTACAGAGTCTGAAACCATTAGGTCAAAAATTAATTCGGCTACTGTGTTGCAAACATTTACCAGGTTGTGACTACCGAGCTTTTATTCTCTCAAGCTCCTCTTTTGGGTTTCTATTTACCAGCAGTATTATTAGCAATGACTGAACACACGATCTTCCCCAACTTCCTTCTTTAACAGAAACAGGTGTCACTATCCAGCAAGGTCATCTACCTTGTTTAGAAGTCTCAACAGAGGAACCGAGGTAGAATGATCTGGGCGGTGGGGGAGCCTTCCAGTTTTGCAAGACTTCGAACCGGAAGACCGAGAAATTCAACCGCAAATATGCAGATGTACGCACTCGACTCTCACATTTTACGTTTGCCGACACGGGGGCAGAAGTCCAGCGGTCTTTATTTTAATCTCGGACACACACACACACACACACACACACACACACACACACACACACGTCATGTTAGTTGGCAGCTCCGGACAGGACAGTAAAACAGGAAGGCATTCACAGCCATTTAGTGGCACACTGACTAGTGAGCGAGCCACCTGCCCCCACTCCCTCTCACAGTACAAGGGGACACCTCTGGCAAGTCAGACTTTAACAATCATTCTGATATATATATATAAAAAAAAGTGTGTGGGGGGCGGGGGGGTGGGGAGGGACCCTAATAAAAAGAGGCCTTTAATTAAATGAAATTGCCACTCTGGGATCGGGCCTTCATGCCTGTCAGCGCACTCTCAAAATAAACATCTCAAAACTAGGCCTCGGCGGTGTCACTTTCTCACAGGCAAAGCATACTGGGTAATCCCCAGGCATCCTGACAGCTACATAATGTTCAAACGGTTTCACGGGTGAATGGCGTCAGTTGCGTGAAAGAAAATATTAATGTCTGGAATTAATAGAAAAAGGGACCAGGGTTTACAAAGCCAAACAAGGAAAAAGGGTGTCAAGTTAGTGTGGCGTTAATTGTTAGGGAAAATTTGAGAAAGGGGCGGGGGGGGAGGGGGGGCGCTGGGAGCACATGGTGATTTTCTCGCTGAGCCTAAGAGCCTCACTGTCAGGGAAGTGACATCTCAACTAGGCAAATTCTGAAAAGAGGTCTGCGGCTCAGGAATGCAACTCCGGATTAGACAAATGATGAGACAGCACCTTGAATGGGTGGACTTCAACCTTTTTTTTTTTTTTTATGGGGAGCTTCAGAAACAATGAGGCTCTTTGGGAGAAAGAGGTGGTGTGGTACCCTGGGAGGAGAATGAAGCTGGGGGGGGCGCAGACGGGCACCTCCATCCTGGTGTGGCCACCAATTCGGCTATGTGGACCCTATGGGGTCACACGTACCCCCTCCAATTTAGAATATCTGGGTGTTAAGCATCAATGGCCTGAGTCTTCTGCCGCACCCCAGACACCCCGGGGTTCGATGCGTGCCCAGAGCGGCTAACAGCCATTCATCGGTCCTGCAAAAGGGTTGCACCAAAGCACACCCCTGAGCACATGTGGGACAGTCCTTCCTTCTGCTCGTACTCCAGGACATTACATCCTGTCAAGCCTTCCGTGACTCTGTATCTGTCAGGCCTGCTAACACTGTCCACGTGCTACAAACCGTAATGGCTGACTTCAGAGCCTGGCACGGTGGTGGGGGGGGGCGGGGTCACGAAGGTAAATCAGTCCCAGATCCTGCCCCGGTCCACCTGGCGGGCAGCAGGCGTGCCTTAACTATAACAAGAGGTTAAGTGTCAAAACAGAACTGAACTTCCCAGGTGGGAGAGATTAGCTCTAGCCCGGGTGTCAGCGGAGGCTGAAAGAAAGATACTGGTTGAAATGTGGGTGGGCGCGAACACGCGGAGAAGGACTGAAGTCATGTTAGCAGAAGGAACTGGCTTTGAAGCCGGGGAGCAGGGAGGAGACCAAGATGACAAGATCTGTGTGGCGCCCAAACCAGCATTTCCACCGATCTGGAAATCAAGTGGAAAAAAATGTAATGAGAAATAAAGCTGAACGGGCGGGCAGGTTGGAGCCAGAGGCCAAAGTGCTTGAAAATGACAAAATCCAGGGGTGCCTGGGTGGCTCAGTTGGTTAAGCGTCTGACTTCAGCTCAGGTCATGATCTCATAGTCCGTGAGTTTGAGCCCCGCATCGGGCTCTGTGCTGATGGCTCACAGCCTGGAGCCTGCTTCGGATTCTGTGTCTCCCTCTCTCTCTGCCCCTCCCCTGCTCCTGGTCTGTCTCTATGTCTCAAAAATAAATTAAAAAAAAAAATAAAATGACAAAATCCGGAGTTTAGTCTTTGTTCGGTGAGAAAGAGAGGATGGTTTGCTTTTTCCTGTTTTTTTTTTTTTAATTTTTTTAACAAGACAAGGCACAGGTCTCAGAAAGATACGAAATGAAAAAGACACGTCTGCACTCTCTCACACCTTCCTCATGCCCCTTCCTCTCACGGGCTGCTTTTGTGGATTTACTACAGGAAAAACATACAAGAATTGATTTTAACTCGAGAGTAATCATATTACGTGCACTGGACGTCACGCTTTCACAATGAAAGCACCCGCAGTTCTGTTCACACAGACTTACCAGATTTCTTTTCATCGACTGCAGAAACTTTCACTGTGTTATTGACTACTTACATAACTAGCCACCAAATAGTGGATACTTACATCATTCCATTCTTGTTTGTTTGTTTTAGTGCAAACAATACTATAATAAACATCCTTATACGACTGTCTTGGAGTGTATATTCAGAGGGAACTTCTAACATTGGGACAGCTGGTTATGACAGATACTGTCAAATTGTTCTCCCAAAGTCTGTCAAATTTACATTCCCACCAAGACTATATGTTTTGTACTTGTTTCTCTGCATGATCACCAATACTGGGTGCTCTGTGCCTTTATTTTATTTTTTTTTATTTTTTTATTTTTTTTAAATTTTTTTTCCACGTTTATTTATTTTTGGGACAGAGAGAGACAGAGCATGAACGGGGGAGGGGCAGAGAGAGAGGGAGACACAGAATCGGAAACAGGCTCCAGGCTCTGAGCCATCAGCCCAGAGCCCGACGCGGGGCTCGAACCCACGGACCGCGAGATCATGACCTGGCCGAAGTCGGATGCTTAACCGACTGCGCCACCCAGGCGCCCCTCTGTGCCTTTATTTTAAAAGAACAGCAGGTGGAAAAGGATACCTCTATTTTTCTCGGTGACGTTTTGAACAAAGTTTAGAATCTTTCATATTTTAGTGGACCTACATTTGTATTTGTCAGAGCAATTCCCATTCATTCCATTTGTCCATTTTTCTAAGGTCTCACAGTTTGTCATTTGCTTCAGGATCTCAATGAGTGTTTAATTATGGATATCAGCCATTGGCCATAAATCTTGTCATAATTTATTTATAGTCAAGCTATTTCTTGTGATAAGTTTTTTTGTTTGTTTCTTTGCTTTTATTTAGTCGAATGTACCAAAGTTTTATTTATGGCTTTGTAGTTGAACATTCTGCTTAGAAGAAAATTTTCGCACAGTAAGATTTTGTAGTTTTTCATTCATTCCACATACATCCTTAGCCCATCTGGAATTATTTCAGTGTGAAGAGGGAAAGAAATTCAGGTTTATGTATGAACAGGAGAGTAAAATGATCAGAGCCAAGCTTTGGAAATATAAACCCGGCAGGAGCTTATAATGTAGAAGGCAGAAGACACAGGCTAAGCCAGAAAACCTGGTGGTTGAGATAATGCAGCACCAGGGAGTTGAGGGCCCAGGAGAAAGCTGTACCCGGAAGAAGTAACCCAGGGTTTCACAAACCATGATCCGTGAGATCTCACAAACCGTGAGATCACAGAACCTCACCTGCACGGAGGCTCCCTGGACTGAAAGGGTTAGGTAGTCAAAACCACTGGGAGAAGCTGTTTATCTCCTCCCTTGGAATTTCACAGTGTAGAATACAAAACTGAACTCTGCCAGGAGCTACATTAAGACAGACAACTATACAAACAGCTCAAAAGTTTTCTACTCTGTATTTCATCAAGTTATTTAAACATAGAAAATATTTCACGAGGAGCAAACTAAAAATAATTATTAAATTCCTCCAAATCAAAGCTGTAGAAGATAAGATGCATGCCCAAAATGGCCTAATGTGCACAGTCTTGGGAGAACAAATATGCGATCAGTGAATGAATCTCATTTGAAATAAGATGGTGTGTCGATGACAAGCCCGTACCTTCCTTTGCCTAACCACCTTTTAGTAAAATCTCCCTTCCTTGGGCACTTTTACTCCGTTTCCTTGTGCCTTACTATCTTTAGCTGTATATAAAAAATATACCAACCTCTTATCTTGAGAACTGAATGAACTAATATACTTCATTAATAGCAGACTCTAGCCATTAACTGACAAAATCCCATAGCAACTGCTACTTTGTTAGTAAGTATTACTACTCGATTAATTTAAAAAGGGGTGTCTATAACAAAGTATGCGGTATTAAATATTCACTTACTTTACCTATCCAACATAACATGTACCGTTTGTTTCTCGTCTGTTTCTCTACGGACCCTTCTATTGCCATCTCTAAAGGTATGAAATTTGTATCACCTTTTCTCTGCAGACGTCGAAGAGAAAATTCCTTATCTTACATACTTCTTACGAGATCCCATGTGGTTGGGGAAAATCTCCATGAAATGATCTGAGCTATCCTGGAAAGAAAGGACTGTAGTAAAAATTAAAAAGCACTAACTATCCATGAGTATTGGCTACTGCCTTATCTCTAGTCCTAATGTTATTCACTGACGATTTTGGATCACTCTGCAAATATATCCTGATGAAAATGACAGATAGCTTGGTAAGAAGGACACCAGATAACTGAGGTCTATCAAGGAGACAGTCATCATGAATCATATTACTTGTATCTACTATCTTGAGAGAATTACAAGAAAAAATGGTCAGAAACAACAGAGGAAGTGATACGTGGAACAAATATTCTATTCACTGGCTCAAGATCAAATAAAGAATCTGCAAATAAAATAAATCTGTAATGAAGCACTAATTACAAACAACTTGTCTTTGCTTTTTGTAATAGAACTCATGGCCATGTGGGAAAAAGCAGAAAGATGCACTAAAGAGAAAGAAAAGATGGGGCGCCTGGGTGGCTCAGTTGATTAAGCATCCGACTTCAGCTCAGGTCATGATCTCATCGTTTTTGAGTTTGAGCCTCGCATAGGGTTCTCTGCTGTCAGCACAGAGCCCGCTTCAGATCCTCTGTCTCCCTCTCTCTGCCCCTCCTCTGTTCTCTCTCTCTCAAAAATAAACATTAAAAAAAAGAAAGAAAAGAATGGAGGAGGGAGGGAGGAAGGGAGGAAGAAAGAAGGAAAGAAAGAATTACTACCATCCAGAAAAGCTTAATATATTGATCTGTACCTAGATTTTACACGCACACTCTGACTTTTCAAAAAAGAAACCAGCCTTCATATTGTATTTTTTACCTGCTTTCTTCAGCCAATAATACATCAGTCTCCTTCTGTCCCCGTCAATATATTTCTACAAATCGGCTTAATGGTCATTTATGTGTATATTGGGGCATACGTATATATAATATAGGTTTGAAAAACCAGCGTTCCTAATTTGAAAATAAAAATCCATGCAAAAGCAGTATTTGTAGGCAGAACTCACTTATTTGCCATCAGTAAAGCTCATTTGCCATGTTAAAACACTTCAGCCATACGGTTTCTTCAAACGAAAGGTTGTCAAGCTAGAAAGCTCTCCTAATTGAATGCATTTCTCAGAGTAGCAGTTTGTGAAAGGGAATTATCTCCATGTTTTTACATGAAGTTCACACTTTGTACTATCTGATAACTTTTGTTAGGAGATCTTAGGAGTTCTGATTCAAGTCAACACTTACTTGTCAAGTCTTTTAGGGAAACTCAGGTACAAAACGATGAATTCATCCTGCATGAACAGTATTTGGAAACACGGAAAAGTATCAATTTGATGTTTTTCTTATCCTCTGGCTTAAGAGTGATAAGGGGCTATTCAATCTCCTTATCAAATACGTTTAGAATCTTCTCAGTAAGGGGCACCTGGGTGGCTCCGTCGGTTGAGCGTCCGACTTCAGCGCAGGTCATGATCTCACAGTCCGTGAGTTTGAGCCCCGCGTCGGGCTCTGTGCTGACAGCTCAGAGCCTGGAGTCTGCTTCCGATTCTGTGTCTGCCCCTCCCCTGCTCATGCTCTGTCTCTCAGTAATAAATGTGAAAAAAAAAAAATTAGAATCTTCTCAATATTATGCATATGTTGAATTTTTTCTTCTTGTCAGAAAAATAACCAAGCCTGAGCTGTCTTTACACGGGATCCATAAGTTCTGACTTTCTCTGAGGCTGGCTAAATAAGCGCCAGGAATGATTTCCAGAAAAACAGCCAGTGATGATTTTTGAGCGGCTGCTGCTGCCCCCTGGCAGTTAAGCTGAGATTTCTACATCAAGTGTCCAAGTGCCACATTCTTGACCCACCTTCAGAAACCATTATGGGCATTATGGACATTCAGAGGGCACTTTTCCTCCATCACATGGGAAAGAAGAAACAACTTTCCCTATGTAGAGCGAAATCTGTATTACTTAAGGTAGCAGTAGGTTCAGGTCCAGCTGAATTCCAGGCCAGGTTTTATCGACTACAATTGAATGAAGGAACATGCTTATTCCCAGGATCTCCCTAGCCCATCAGGCTGCAAATGGCGGCTCTATGCTTCCAGGAGCTGGTCTCCTGTTACCAACCACAGAACAATAGTTTTCCGCCCCAACCACCTTCAGGCCTTGCTGTCTGTGAACTCCTGAAGTTTTCTCCTGAATGTGATGGACTCCTTTCCTCTAAAGGAGTCTGTCGTGCGCAATGACCCCAATGGCACCTTGGTCAAGGCCTGCCCATGGGTAGACCCTGTGGGTGTAATGGCTCCGTGCAACTCGCCAAAATCTAGCATGTGAAAGAATT